CTAGAGATGAGGACCCTAGAGATAAGGACCCTAGAGATGAGGACCCTAGAGCAGGGGTCTCCAACCTTGGCAACTTTACGACTTGTGGAACTCCCAGAATTCCTCAGCCAGAGAATGCCAAGGCAAAGTTGCCAAGGTTGGAGACCCCTGCCCTAGAGTTGGACACTAGAGCTGGACAGGGAAAACATGTACCTTTTTTTAAGGTTAAGAGGGATCCAAAGGGAGACATGATGATTGCATATTCTGAATAAGATTTACTAAGATTCATTGTTACTTTTCATTTGATATATGTGGCAAAGTGGCAAAAGAGATCACACACATCTAGCAGTTATCATAGCATGTTGGTTTAATAACATTGTCAACATGGGAGAGATAAGATTGAAGTCTATCTGGTTCTTTGACTAGGGAAAAAAATAAAAGCAATGGCATGGGGATGTAGCAGAAGAAAGGGGCTGCCAGGATATGTTTATTTATTTATTTTATTTATTTATTTATTTGATTTGCCAATTGTTTACAAGATAAGTATAAGTGTATACATAGTTGTGAATACATGAAATGGGTACATATAAGAAAAATAAGAGAAGAATAAGAGAAACAATAGGACAGGGACGGTAGGCACGTTGCACGCCCCCTACAGACCTCTTAGGAAAGGGGTGAGGTCAATAGTAGACAGTCTAAGGTTAAAGTTTTTGGGGTTTGGGGAAGAAACTACAATTGGGTACAAATGAAGGAAAATGCTCAGCATGATTCTTCCTAAGTCAAATCATCTAGTAATGCATCTGCCTTTTTGGCCTTGAAGAGTAGCCGTTGGAATTTTAGAACCTAGATGGAAATGTAATTTTGGGACAATCTCCTTTTATCCGGGGACAAACAGATTAGAACCCAAACCTCATTCTTAATCGCAACCCACTCCTTCCTTTTGGTTAAACCAGGTTTTATAATATTATGTAAGAAACTTCATGAATAAAGATAGATATAAATATTTGCCAAGTAGGAACTTGTGCAATTATTAGGAAAGAACAACTAAGAACCTGTTCTTTGCAGATAAAAGAAATTTCTACCTAACTTGAAGGACCATTATGAAGAAATCATTCATGTTTCTCTTCCTTTCCTGTCTTCCATACTCTTTGTTTCCTGCTAACATAACACAATCCCTGCACAACCTTTTTCACAACCCTGATTTCAGGACACAATTTGTCATTTTTGTGATGTAGTTCATTTTCTGCAACTGCTAGGGTTTCATAGAGAAATCAGTGTGATGCTCAGCATCTTGGCTTATTTTTTAAAAACACTCTTTAAAATACAAATTAGTTTTATCACGTCAGAAGTCAAAACTTTTCCTTCTAATAAGTTAATCTGGCTTGCGAAATATTAAGATTCGGTAATTATAGCCATACAGCTCACTGCCAAGTTTTAAAACCTAGTCAAGACACAGGTCATTAAATCCAACCCAAAATACACAGGATTTAATACTCATAGATTATTTCCCAGCAACCTACCTTCATAATCCCCAATTCTGACCAGCTGTGGACTGTGGTACTTTTGCAGCCTGTATAGAACTCAGAGGAAGATGTAATGAATAATTATGAGGAACTGGAAAGTTCAGCCAGTCACATGGGCTTGAATAGAATAGCAGCCAATTACAGACTGGAATCTCCGCCTTAGAAATTAGCAAATACCAGATAAAATTATCTGTGGTATGGCTAGACTCATTCTCTTTCTATCCTTTAAGCTACCTTTCTTCCTTTTGTGATATGTGCAGTTTAAAATAGAAAAGTTCTTGAACTGTGTTTGTCAAATTTTTGAGATTTACTGGTGTCATTCATAAAAACAAATTTTGAATAAAAATACATACATTAATTCAGAAGATTCTAAAGGTTAAATCACAATTGAAACCAGAAGTTTTTACTTGGGACAAATGGACAGGCAACTAGAAAACAAACATGGAACTTTGTTTTATATATGATAACTACAGCAAGACTATTCTATGCTCAAAACTGGAAAGGTTAGACACTATCCAGAATGGAGGAATGGCTGGTAAAGATGATGGAAGTTGTAGAGATGGCTAAATCCACTTTCTTGATGAAATATATGTTTATTGCGGACTGGAAATCCCCTTATACATTTTTTACATGAAATGGAAAAAGTGCATTTATGATTTGATGATTAGAAAAAAAAAAACTGGATAATAGAGAAAAGTGAGCTTTTTTTCCTTTGTAATCATAGAGTCAGAATTAATTTTGTCAATCATGCTTATATTTGTTGCAGAATAAAATGGAAGTTTCTTCTATTTTTGTGCTCTTTCCTTTCCTTTCTCCTTTTATTCTTTATTATTATTTTTACATTTTTTTGTTAAACAATTAATAAAGTTTATTTTTAAAAAGGTGTCACCATGGGATGTTGTTTTGCAGCTTCCCTTTTCACTCTATCATGGGAGTGGTAAAAAGAAAAACCTTACACACACAGTTTCATACCTTTGTATTGCATTGGATCATTGTTTTATCAATACTTGTTTTATAATCTGGGTGATATGTCATGAATAATATATAGGATGGGCACACATTATTAATTCCAACAAGAGTGTCTCTTTTTTTGTAAAAGTAAAGTAGAGCTTTAAGGCATTTATTCTGCTTGGCAGGTTTGCAGACAAACTAACAAAAACAAAAAGAGCCAGCTTTGTCTAGTGGTTAAGGTACCAGGCTAGAAACCACGAGAGTTCTAATCCTGCCTTAGGCATGAAAGCCAGCTGGGTGAGTTTTGGCCAGTCACTCACTCTCAGTCCAACTCACCTCATCTGGTTTTTGTTGTGGAACAAATAGGTGGAAGTATTAGATATATTCGCCACCTTGAATTATTTACAAAAATAATAAAAGTGGGATAGAAAATGTAAAATAAAAATGCCATAAAACTGTATTGATTTTTGCAATTTGTTACAATAGGCTCCGTTGGGTATTCTGCTTTGCCCTGGGCAGTGTGGCAAGGACAGCCCACTAGTTCTTTCTCAAGGACAAGGATGTCCATCGTTGGACTCAACCTGGCACCAGCCTGCCTTTACCGATCCTTTCATGTTCTATCCAGGGGTGGGATTCTACCAGTTCGCACCTATTCGCTAGAACCGGTTGTTAACACTCTAAGCAGTTCGGAGAACCGGTTGTTAGAAGAAATTACTGGCCTAATCCTATAAGGAAGGCAGGAAGGAAACATTCTGGTGTTGCTTACAGAAACTGCCTCTCCATTAACCCTTAATACATTCTTGGCAGGACTAGACTTCCTGTCTCAGGAACATCTCTGGAGTTTTTTCCCCCTCCTTTGCTGGTACTTTGCTTGTGTGGAGTGACCATTTAAAGTTACAATGGCACTGAAAAAAGTGACTTATGACCATTTTTCACACTTATGACTGTTGCAGCATCCCCACAGTCATGAGAGGCCAAGTGAGGCGATGCGGGCCTCGATGTGAGTGATATTGAGTTGGCCACGCCCAGCCAATAACATGACCACCAAGCCACGCCCACCACCTAAGCCACGCCCACAGAACCGGTTGTTAAAAATTTTGAATCCCACCCCTGGTTCTATCTCCAGAGTAAGGTTATCTGACATCCGCAAGCTGAAGTGGCTCTGGGTAGCTCACTTGTTGCATTTTAAGTCCTGTAGACAAATACACATCTTCCCATTAATTACGGTGCACTGTGGCTAGAATGTCTTCTCACTTTGTAACACTGGACTTTGAGCCCCCATGGCAATTTCATCCTAGGATGAATATCTGGTGAAGCCCTGTTTTTCTTTTCTTTTTTTCAATGGCAGGTCTGTAAAATGGTGAATCTCTGATATCTTTTTTATGTTATTGGTGGTCCCGTGAAGATCTGGATTTTTTTTTCTTTTACACATTCACTGATGGACTGGCAGAAGAATGGACTTTTTTTTTCTTTTAACAGGTGAATTTTTTAAAGAGCTCTGCCAGTTTTCTACCCAAGAGACGGGAAGAAAGCCAACACTTTTATTTACTTCTATCTGTCTGCCACCAGTTGACAAATAAGATGTCAAATACAAAGCGGAGTCCATATGAACGGTCTTTCAGTGGAAACCACATAACTTCAAAGACCCACTCATAGAAATGAAAGCAATTGGTGCTTGTTTCCCCAGTAGAGGTGAGATGGGCAAAGAAGCTATGATAAGAAGTTCACTAATCAGAGATCATGATAATATCAGGCTAGACAGAACACAATCGTTTGCAAAGCTGAACAATGAATTACAATCTGGACAGCAATTTTTTAAACTTCATTTCCAGTGACTTTCTGCAGAGGAAACAAATAGCTTTACCTTATCATAGGGAAGATTCCTAAATTTCAAAGAAACAATAATAGACTATTGGAGATCCTGTGCTACATATGTGATTCATGGAGATTGTTCGCTTTGATTGTAATGTAAAAACCTGGAGAATTTTTAAGGGGATACAGATCTCTGTTTCAGATTTCTCTTTTCTTTTTAATGCCCAGGGTTAAAGTAGTTTTAATCCTACATGCTTTTCTTCTCCTAAATATGTAGCTGTTACAACTTCCATTTTTAACCTGGCTTTGTTTCTAGAACTACAGTATATTTTGAATTTGGTTCTTTTTAGAACATATAGGAAATGGAATAATAAACGTGTTCTAATGAGAGAGTGCCTGGATTCCTTCCTCAAGGAAGATTTTTTAATTGTTCGGTTTACTGTAGCTTGATCCAACTAAAGACCAGAGGCCAGTATTTCTGCTTCAGAATATTCATGTGCCTTCTGAAGATGCATCCCATTAGAGCAAAAATGACATTAATATCCATAAGTGAGAAGTGTTGCTACCTTGTGCTCATACATTATAGCACTTGATACCCAGAGGAATCTCCCCCAAATACATGACTGATGTGAACCACTGGATTTGTCAACTTTGGAAGCCATTTTGAAAATCCGATGCTCCCACACTGCGACAATTGAGCCTGGGAAAGTGGGAGGGGGGGGGAAATTCATTGGAGTATATCTAGTTAGACATAATAAAATTATTTTGCTGATTCAAGGTCAGGTAGTGTTGCGCGTTGTGAAAAGGAAGTCTTACTTTGGGATGGATGGTGATTGGGCCACGGGATGTGGTGATGGGTAGAGGGGATGGATTTGTACTTTTTAATTTATTGCAAGGAAGCCCAAAACTTCAGATTCGGGATTCCACAGATGTGCCAGTTAATATCCAATTAAAAGGAACCTTTGCGAGGTGTTTGTCTCGGAGTTATTGGTTGGAATGGAGGTTTGCTGGAACTCTGACAGGATTATTCTGGGCAGATGGGATGGTGATAGATTTTTTTTAAAAAATGGTGCTTAGCTAAGATTATAGGTAGCCGTTGAGCAGTAGTGGGATTCAAGTAATTTAGCAACTGGTTCTTCTTAGTGACTGGCTGGGTGGGCACGGCTGGGGGGGATCATGTGTCTGAGTGGGCGTGGCCAACTTGATGTCACTCCTGGCAAGGTGGGATGGTGCAGGTGGGCCTATGCTGCAGAGACAGGGCGATTTCCTATGTACCATTCCAAGCCCCTCCCCCCCACTTGAGCTGACAAAATAAAAGCCCGTCTAAAGATCACAACTGCCTGCTGAGCCTGCCTGGCACATGCTGGCAAAAGGAGGCTAGGGAGAGAAAAAAAGAGAAGGCCCGACCAAAACGTCCTGTTTTCCACCTCCGTTAGGCTGTCTGCGCCACGCTGGATCAGGATGGGAAAGCCAAAAGCCCACCCAGTCCGTACTCACCAGCACAATGGCAAATCTTTCTTCCAGCTCACCGGTTCGGACATTGGGAGTTTGAGGGGTAGATTGTGTACCCTGGAATCCGTCTGCTGCTCCTCCAAGCCCGGCTCTGGCTGCAGCCAACCACCCAGAGCCTCGGCTTCCAGCAAGCTTGTTAAGGCATGCAATATGCTGCCTCTCAGCTCCTGGGTTCCCCACACAAGCCCTGGAGGTCTGGTACTTCTTCCCCACCCAGTCTGCCCACGCTCCCCTCTGACTCCAGTCACCAATTCCCCCAGCGTCCCACATGCACAACCCCTCAAAAAATTTTAAGAATGAGAGCCGCAGGGAGGCAAAGCACTCTGATCTCTGTCTCCCTCTAGGACGGGCCTTGGAAAATCTCCCCCTCACAATCAGACTCCCTTTCTTCTAGCACTCATGAGGGGAACCCAGAAGCTTAGTGGCAGCATATTACATGCCTTAACAAGCCCGCTGGTGGCCAAGGGTCTGGATGGTCAGCTTCAGCCAAAACTGAGGAGCACCAACGGTTTGGAGCTCGTAAAGAAGCCATGCGTTTTCCAGCCTGGGCTGCTTGGAGTGAAAAGCATGCAATACTGCCACTCCCGGGCTCCCTGCACAAGTGCTGGAAAAAAGGGAGTCCGATTGTGAGGGCGGGCTTTTCCAAGGTTTGGATTGGTTCGGGGTGGGCGGGGCCAGCCATTGGTGCAATTAGCCAGTTCTTTGAACTGCACAAAAATTTAACAACTGATTCGTGTGAACTGGTCCAAACCGGCTGAATCTCACCTCTGCCCTTGAGACTGGCAATTCCCTTACTAA